ACTTTGGTATTCAATTCAAGTTCCACCAAGCTTCCAAACCAGATAGTCCAGAAAGGCAGATTATAACTATACACCTTTGATTTATATATTTGCCAGCATGTAACCTTTTTTTCTAGAATTCAGAAATTCCAGTGACCTGGTTGGTTCCATTTAGCTTCTTCTTAAAGGCTGGCTCTTTGCTCAGTTTCACAAGTTCTAGCTCTATTTCATAGATCTAGTCTTTACAGTAGCACTGTTGAAAGCTTGGGTTACCTCTCTACTCAGGTCTTCCAAGTAGGCTTTTATCTTTCTATTTGGTTCCTATAATTTACATGGCCTAAAGACTTATCTTGGATTTATACTACCTGGTACTGGTTTGTGTTCCTTTGTACAATGTTGCATAAATACCTAGACTTTTCAGTTATACTAATATGACATGAGTTATAGGTATCTTATCCCAACCAATTACAGAAAACAGTTAACTATAACACAGAAGAATTGCAAAATTTTGCCATCACTGGAATTTGAACTCTAGACCTGCCACTTGGGAGTTGACAACCTATCCACTTCACTAGGTTGCCACACCTCATATTAACAGTCAAATTTGTATATAATACTTTTAATTAAATTATAACATCTCAAGACCTAGTAACTTAAATTATGTAAATTTGATACTATTTAATTTGTCAAAATTAGATGAATCAAATGGTACTAAATTTATATAATTTAAGTTACTAGGTTACAAGGTATTGTAATTTAATTAAAAATATTATATACGAATTTAACTGTCAATTTGTATGAATTTAACTGCCTGTTTATATAAATTTGACTGTTAGTTTATATGAATTTGACTATTAGTTTGTACAAAGTTGGTATGCAAAATCTGTATAAAATTCATTAAATACTAACTTACAGTATACTTATTGTTTATATAGTTTTAAGTTAGTTTATATACTTTAAAATTATTATTTTTTAATTATATATAATTTGTAAACTTATTAAAATTTAAATATATATTAAAGCTATATATGTAGTTTGACAATAATAAATTATTAATATTTTAGCTTATTTCTTTTAACATATCTAATAAACATTGTGTTTTATTTAATATTTTAAACTTGGCTAAATATATATATAGCCTATGGCTATATATAGCCATGATACAGTAAAGCAAATAAAATTTGATGTAATGAATATTGAGTAATAAATGCTTAGTATAATGAATGCTTAGTGTAATAAATACATATTATAAAAAAATAAATCTATGTAGTATGAAGATTTGCTATAGTAAAATTTTACAGCATTATGAAGGTGTAACTTATGTTCAGATCAGTTAATAATTGCAAGTTCTAATTTAATACTATTATTAATCACAGTATTGCAAAACTAAAAGCCATAGGAGGTTTTTTTGACCTTTTTTTTGCATAGTCCTATTTATGACAGGACACCAAATAAATTCTATATATATGCATTTGACTGTTTAATAAACTCTAGTATTAATTGCAAGTCTGATTTAAAAATTACTAGCATTGATGATAAAACTGTTCTTTTTTTTGTGTAGTCTTATTTTATAATGATATATTAGGTAAATCCAATATATATGCATTTGACTGATTAATAACTTCTGGTATTTTTAAATATTAATTATAATCAACTTAGTTCTGAAAGAAAGCTTAATTGAAAATCAAATTTTATTTGCAAGAGTAAAGGCTTTTTGTGTATATAATTTTTTTTTTTATGATCAACAACTTGGTTTTGAGAATGAGTGAAAGGGTTTTTTAATGCAAATTAAAATGCGTAGCATTTACTTATTAGTTGTAGTTATAAAAGGGCTGATGGCACAAGGTGAATATTGTTTATATTTAATATTACTTGATTCACAAGATGAATGTTCATATTTAATACCACCTGGTCTACAAGGCAAATGCTCATATTTAATATCACCTGATCCATTTGCAACTTATAATAAACAAGCTGGTAATACATAGTTTATTTTTTTTTTGGATAAACTAGTACTTATTAAGACAAGAATATTTTACTTACAATTTTCACTTAAAAAGGTTCAATAACACAAAATGAAAGTTTATATTTAATTTTATCAGATTAATTGTATAATGAAATGCCAAGTAATTTAAATTGTTAGTTAGGATCTTGACTTAAAAATGACTTTATAGGATATAGTATTACTATATCCCATAATGTTATTTTCAAATCAAGGATCCAATTTGTTAGTTTGTAAATTAGATAATAAAGTATTAAAATTAAATTTTACTTATTAAAAGAAACAGAACAAAGTAAAAGTTCTATTTTAGCCAGTTACAATGAACTAATATTAAGTACAATAGTATATAATGAGTTAGATATAACATCATTATCTTTATTAGATCCACTAATTGAACAATTAAAACTATTGGTTAACATTAATGAACAATTAGAACCAACAATTGGCATGCAATTTGAAACATGAGAACAATTAGATAGATACATTAATGCTTATTGTAGTTCATAATATTTTTCAAAAATTATTTATGATGCAGAATATGATTGTAGAATGAGGCAGCATTGTAGATATCAATGCAAGTTTCAAGGACAATATGGGCTAGGTGCTGAGAAAAGGGATGAAATTGACAAAAAAAAAGATCTTTAGAAAATCAATTTTTATGTTGTAAATCTTATAATAAATCATAGAAAAATGCAAACTTTAAGAAGCTATATTACAAAATTTTATTAACACAACTAATTTTGAGTCTTAAATAAAAAATGATCTTAATCTTATTTTAAATTGATTTATGTAAAAAAACAGTTTTTGAAAAAAGTGTCAATTTCATCCCTTTTCTTAGCACCTAGCCCATATAAAGAAAAAAAAAAAAAGATTGTAGAAGACTAACATAATATATGATCAAAGCATAGTAGATGCCCATAGTTTGTAAATGCAATATGTTCTAAAACAAATAGTGTTATTAGGATTACCTTTATTTTCTTAGAACATAGTGATTATCCTCTAGATCTACTTGCTAATAAATTTAACATTGTAAATAGAACATTTACTGAATCTATATTAACAGACATAGAGTTTTGGACTATTAAAGGAAATCTTAACATGCATACACAATGTTAACTACTTATGACAAAATATGAAAATATTTTTTTTTTATTGCAAGACTTATCAAATGTAATTCAAAACTAAAAAAAAAACAACAAATTGAAGATGAAGCTGCTACTTTAATTACTTACCTGTTAGAACATAAAGCTAAGAATATAAGATGGATTGTAAATTGGCATATTGACCTTACAACAAATTCTTTATTAAGTTTTGGATAACACCTGACCAATATGATCTTTATACTCAATATTATGATGTAGTGCAATATGATAATACTTATTCAACTAATAGGTTTAAAATAGCACTTGAACTATTCTTAATTGTAGATAATAATAATAGATCTTGCTTAGTAGAACAAATATTAATGAGTAATGAGACTTTAAAAGGCTTTGAATAGGTATTTGGCTCTTTAATTCAAACTACAAACATTTTTCTCTTAGTTATTATAACCAATAGTAACCTCAATATTGATGCTTCAATTGCAAGTATAATACCAAATACTTATTATATTTACTGTATTTATTATATTGGATAGAACATTATAAAAAATTTAAAGTCTAAACTAGAATCATATTATGATGAGTTTTCTAAGGCTTGGTATCAAATGAGAAATATACCATCCCAAGTTGAATTTGAATGACTTTGGGATTCTCTTCTTGAAATCTATCCTAACTCAGTTTCTAATCTTACTAGAATACTAGACTTACAAAAAAAACAATGGCACTATCTTATCTTTTATATATATTTACTACTGAAATGCAGTTTACTCAATGAATTGAAGATCAAAATGCAATAGTTAAGAGTACTATTAATAGTCATACTTTGATATTAGAACTTTTTAAAAAACTTGATGCATAGTTTATTAGTATATCATCTACTATTCAATATCGAAATTGAACATATTCTGTAACTGGTTCAACTCTTATTCATGCAAGTTATAACTTTTCATTTATAATTGATAAATGGATAATTGATTATTTAACACCCACAGTCCTTTTAATATAATAACAAGAAATAGCTTAAGCTATTTGATATAATAATGACTATTTTACTATAATAATAGGCATAAGTATTATTTTGAGTTACAGTCTGAATTACACTTAATTTAGGCTATAACTTAAAATAATGCTCATGTCTATTATTTTGAGAATTTGCAGTATTGCTTATTAACTAACATAAATTTGTAAATAATATAATAGATACACTTTTCTGCTAGTAGATAAAAGCCATGTTTTTGAACTTGGATATAAAGATAAATTATTTAGTACTAGTTTTGTAAAAGACATTATTAATATTTTATTAATACTTTTAAAGAAGCTAATTCCAACTAAACACTATAAAGATGTTATTGAAATTTGAAAGATTGTTCATTACTGATAAAGTAAAAAAACTATGTAGTTCTTTTTAATGATCAATCATATCTTTGCACTTGTTTTTGTTTAATTCAACATGAGATCATATATTGTTATTTTTTTTGCCTATTAGGAAATTCAACATATGCATTTTTTCATATTATTCTTATTTCAAAATGTTGGTACAAAGATAAGAAACAACTTGAACCTATCTTAGTTCTTAAACAACAACCTTTTACTGATAGATTTTAAGAAGTTTCTTAAACTATATTAAATAATAAAACATTTTTAAATGTTTTTTTTTTTTTTTTTGGTATTAAGGTGAGGCTTTGCTCATATCTTTATTAGTAGTTTTAAAGTTAGTAACTGCATGGAGTTACTATGTATACAAAGTTATTCTATATAAATGCTATGGCCGAAACCAACACTTGCAGTCATGGCAAAAC